TGTAATACTGCCTCAGATGATGGTGTGGACGAACAAATGTTATTATTTTAGTCAGATATTATTACATTTATCCGTTAAAATACATTTAAAAAATGCAGTTCATGATGCGTGCGTTCGACATTAATTTTACAGGTTAAAATTGTAGGAAAAGTTGTGATCACGATCTTTGTCGGTAAACAAATGAGTAATAAATATATATTCGTTATATAAGTATACTTCATACTGGGATACGACGAAGACTTAAATTACTTTCAAAAACCTGGCTGTATGAAAATTTGATATACATGTAATTTGTTCAAATACTAAATCAATCTCAAGGGTTGAGTTGGGTAAAAAAACAAAGTAATCCCTGGAATTATCCGGTTCCAACAGTAAAACCCTTTCTTAAATTTTAGTGTGGGGTTGTATTAATTAGTAGCAGCCATGTCATGTCGGAGGAGGGACTTTAAACCCAGTACATCGCTTATTCAGGATTAATGTTACGCTTTCTGCATGTTAAACAACTTTTGCGACAACTCTTTAATGAAAAATGTGTGATATATTTGCCACTGAACGATAAGATAGAAACAAACGATCAATCAAAACTTAAATCTGCATGATATACAGGTGTCTTCAGTCTTGTGAATATTAAAAATGACAAAAAAGGACCATGACACTTTGCAAAACTGACTCGCGTACGTATATAAATCTTATAATGGCAAACGTAAAGAAGGATATGTATGTCTCTTGCTTAAAAATAGCTAAAAAAAAAGCAAGAGACTTTTGAAATTCGAAATTGTTTCAAAATCATCTGAAGCAACAAATGGTTGCTTATTTTAGACAAATGTATTTCGGTAGAAGCGAAGAAAATCCCGTCTTTTGCTAATTCATCACTGTATATAGCTTCCCTGGTGCCGTAAATAACCGAGACATAATTCTTCAACACAATGTTTTATTTAAATAAAAATAGGCAATTTTGACAAAAACAGCTATCATATATAATTTGTCTTTTAAACAGACCATACATGATTAGTCCTACACTACAGATTTAATCTATATGATTTTATAGTTTTGCCGTTGCACGATGAAGTTGGTAATATAATGAATTCTTTTATAAAATTTTATATCAATTTTTAAATATTGAAAATGAAGTTGAATAACTGACGATAAGAATCCACCACACCAAGTCGGCTCACTTCATTTTCAACAAACTGGTATCTAATCAAACACTCAAGGAGACTAATTAACAGCTATCTGTTTGATGATAATATTTCTACCCATGATTCCATAGTTGTAAAACGAGATTTGGGAGGACCACATATGACGCTTTCCACTGATTATGGGGACATCGTGATCGCCTTACTATATAGCACAGCTTGCACACTTCGTCTAGTAATGGACTTCTGATATGACCAATAGCAAATTTATATACTTGTTGATTGAAATGACCAATTTAAATGCATAGTCTAAATAAAATAATATTATGATTTCTTGAAAGGCAGATTTGTTGATTTTTTTACTGTGAAGCCTTCATTATATGACCATGATGACAGTCCATCTTAGGAAGACATCACAGCAAAAAATTAAAGAAGCCTTTCATGACAAAATATTATTGGACTTATAGATATATTATGTAGTTTGTTAATCATGACTGCCCACCTTGACATGTTCTTTTTATACGCCTGTTTACGGGACGTATTATGGTATACCGTTGTCTGTCCGTCGTCAACATGTCGGACATTAACTCCAAAACACTTTAACCAATTTGCATAAAACTTTGGTGAATTGTTTATATCTATTGAGGTGAGCCCTTTTTTTTTTTATTAATTTTAGATTTTACGTTTCCGAGTTATGGGGTTTTATTCATTAAAAAAAGGGGGATTTTCCAGTTTTCGGACAAATTAACTCAAGAATGCTTTCACCAACTTGCAAGAAATTGTGGTGAATTGTTTATATTTATTGACATGAGCTCCCTTTGGTTTTTTTATATATTTTAGATTTTATGTTTCTGAGTTACAGGGTTTTATTCATAAAAAAAGGGGGATTTTCCCGTTTTCAGACAAAAAATCAAAAATGCTTTCAGCAGTTCTTATGAAACTTTGGTGAATTGTTTATATCTATTGATGTAAGCTCTGTTTAAAATTTTATAAATTTTACATCTTACATTTCTGAGTTATGGGGTTTTATTCATTACAAAAAGGGGGATTTTCCAGTTTTCGGACAATAACTCAAAAATGTGAATCAGCATTTTTTATGAAACTTTGATAAATTGTTTATATCTATTTTTGTAAGCTCCCTTTTGATTTTTATCAATTTTTCGATTTTATATTTCCGAGTTATAAGATTTTATTTGTTTATAGACTGACAACAGATTTACTAAGTATTACGCAACAGCACAGTGTATTGCACAACAGCAAGTAATCTTTCATAAAACCAATTTCAAGTTCTTTGACTACATTTATTCAGAAACCTATAATATCAAATGTTTAATTACAATCCAAATTCAGACCTGTATCAAGCTTGAATATTGTGTCCATTTTTGCCCCAACTGTTCAGGGTTGGACCTCTGTGGGCGTATCCAGCTGTGCTCAGCGAAGCAGTTTATTTATAAATGTTATAGGTGCTTGGGAGATTTTCATATTCTTAGTAAAGGTTAAAGTTGTTCCCTAAAACATACAAATTTCATTGGACACATGAATCGCTACAATCTGTGGGTGTTTTTAATGGCCTGCTACGTAGGCAACGAGGGCATTTAGTGCTGTCTGTCCAGCCAAATTTTAGTTTCCGCAATTACTTTAGTATGTCTCATGCAAATTTTATGAAACTCATACACGATTGCTAAGAACCACAACACTCAGACAGACTTTCGGTTGTGATTCATTTACCGTTTTAGAGTTATCCCCCTTTTTAATTTTGAAAATTGCAAAGCTTGAGCAGGGGCATTCATGTGCACTCTTTTATTGTAGAGTGATTTTTGTTCCAAAGTGATCTATCTAGAAATGGTTACAGTGAGTGAGTGTTACCAAATTTTCAAACACTTGATTTTTATACGCTTGTCGAAGACCGGACATATTAACTGTACCAATGTCCATGATGTCCATCTGTCTGTCAACACTTTGTAAGACAAATTAAATTTGATGTAATTTGATCACAACAATATCAAGATTTTATTTTGAAAAAATTTGGCTGTGTCATTCCAGAGTTACAGGACTTTAAGAGGGTAAGAATGGGATACCCCAAATGGCGAATGATGATAAAATATTTGTGTAAATAACGTTAAAGATAAACATTTTACTCCATTTGATGCCAAGTAGCAACAAAATGAGATATGAGATGAAAAATTAAGGCTCATTTGATGCTAACGGTAGCGAAAACCATAACCCCCTCCCCTGGAAGTTAAATGGTTGCTCCCTTAGGAAATTATTTATGGTTGCTATGATTTTAAATTAAATATATATTTTAACAAAGGTTGGTGTACATGGTGTAGGGTTTAATTCTTACAAATAGTATTAAAATACCAGAGTTCTCAAAATGTGATTGTCTGCAGGTTTTGACTACCAATAATTTTCAAAGGACTGATGCAAGTTTGGTATTTTGCAATAGAAATAAAGTGAGGACTAGCAGATTTTCTTTAAGGACCACCAGGGAAAAAAGATTTCTAGAACTCTTTGTCCAGTTGTCAGTGTCTAAAATTAAACCATGACAGCCATGAAATCAGATTCTGTCAATTCAATGGACATGCAAGTTAGTATTTGAAACGGATCAGAAATGTTCAAAATAAAGCCTGCAATCCTTATACATGTACGTCTGTAAAAAAAAGGATCTGTTTATGTATTAAACATGTTAAATAATTACTTTCTCTTATTTTTAGTTGACCTGTCAAATACAAGATACAGAGTGCCAGTTCCACTATGATGAAGTATTAAAAGCTTTAAAATGGTTGGAATTAGGAAAGCTTTATTATTTGAACAGGTAAATTGATGCATTTTACTTTTTGCTCCTTATTAAAACTGGTTATCATTTGTTTTTGTATATCATATTTTTTTTCATTTATTGTTATTGTACATGTACATAAATCAGGCTGTACAGTGACCTATATGCAAATATGGAGCATTAGATTCATATAACAAATAGTTTAATACATAAGAAAATCTATTATTAAAGATAAGAAGATGTGGCATGACTGCAAATGAGACTACTATGCACCAAATGATGTAGATGTATGACTCTTTATATAGGTTGCTTTGCTGTCTTCAATAAGCAAAACCCATACCATATTAAGCTATAAACACCCCCCCCCCCCCCTTTTTTCCCCTAACCTTGGACAGTAGTGTATCATTACTACATACAGTTTTGACATAGGAACAAACTGTAAACAATGGTCAAAGTTGGTGAAAAAGGCTCGACTAAATTGTCGGATCAACATGTAGCACAAACAAAAAGGCACAAAGTACTTGCAGTTACTGAAAGCTAGTTCAAATATAATTACAAGTTATGGTAAAGGCATGTTTGTGATACAAAAAATCATCAACTCACATCAATAGATTTGGTTTAAATTCAGCCCATATTTAAATATTATTGAACATTTTACTATACAAATACAGATGTACAGATAATCTAAAGAGATAAAGCTATAGTATAGGAATATTTAATCTTCTGGTATCCTGCTTCTGTTGCTTGGAAACAGTTATGTTTAAACAGTCTGTATGCATATTATCATGAAAGAGCTATATTTAATCTTGCACTTTTGTTCTGTTTTCAACGGTCGCAATAATAAACGCATGCAATCATTTCAAAATTTACATGATTATATATCATAAAGGCTCTTGTAATCATGGTAATACTAGTAGATATGCTTAAATCTGGTTTAGGATAATATTTTTTACAGTTATTTGCAATTATCTATAACATTTTTTATTTTAGGAAACAGATATGAATGAATGAAGATTTGGATCCCTCTTCAATTCATCTGAAAACATGGAAAACCTTAAGATTGAGCATTCTTGCAAAAAATTTACCTAAGGAGTCAGATGGGCTAGTGCATTCATTTCCATAATCTGGACTCAGTGACTGTTCAAGGGTAAGTGGTTGTAACAAAAGTTTGATGTTATACTTATTTGTTGTTTAGTAGAGACATCAAAAGAAGAAGACTTTAAAAACATTTTGCCTTTTTCAGGGTCTAATTGAGAACTTTACAGGTCGAATGACATAGCCTACACTACAGTACAGTGCATCAGTGTATTATCTGACACCCTTCTCTTTTTAATATGTCCGTCAACTGACAGAAAATGAAAAACAATCATAGTCGGTAAATCTTGTTAACTTTTAATTTTACCAAATTATAAAGAATTAGGCTTTGCATTAATTTCCACTAATTTCGTTCAAGAGTTATGGGACTTTAAAATTTCACATAATAAGCAATATTTCAAGTTTTGCACATTAACAATTTATGAAGAATGTTTTTCTTATTTACAATTTTGATTCTGGTGTTCTATAGTTCTGATACTTTCATCTTAAAAAATGTGCCTCTGTATGTTATTTTTTTGTTTTGTTTACTAGGTAGCTATAGCTAGGACAAATGAATATACAGGACTTTTCATTACTGCATTAGGAAAATTACTAGTTCTAATTTTGTGGAAAATTAAAGGAACATCAAAATCCTTATTATATACAAACTATTGATCTGCATATGTTTTGTTAAAGAACAAACATCCTGCAAAGTAGTAAAGTTCTAATTTAAAAACTGCAAGTGTGTGCTTGAAAAACCATATACAGGTACCTAGCATGAATAATTTCACCAAATTTAAACAAATGACAAAGTTCAAATTCCTGTGATATGAGGAAAATATAAAGAAAGACAATGAATCCTGATAAAATGCACAACAGTAATATATTTACTTATGCCTTTTATAATGTAAAAAGTTCTAGCCTTGAAAATGAGGACTTGCTCAATGAAAAAACCATTAACACTATGTAGGGTGCACTAACATTGGAAGAACAATCACTTTCCTCATACTCTTCTTTGAATGGGGCATAACATGCACAGTTTGGGGTTATATTTTGATGCTCTATTGACACATTATTGGTCTATTGCCTAGATTTTTACTTTTATGTTAAAACTGCTGTCCCTGCATTCTGTTTATTGCTTGTGGGATAATGTTCTGTTTAGTTTATGTGATTAGTAATTTTTGTATTTTTTCTATTTCAGCTTTACTCAATACCCGAGTGTACATTTCCAGTTACTATTTACAATGATTTATGTGTAACCTAAATTTCATATTGTTACACTTTTTCGTCACTAGTCAGATAGAATTAGACACATCTCTGGAGAAGAAAAAAATCTTTGTAACGTTCAAGACAAAATTAATGAAAAGGATCAAGTAACTAATACAACTATATGCTTGTAGTACAGATGTAAATTTTTTGGAAATGTTTCAAACTGAAGCAACACTTCAAAGCTTTCCGATAATATATTAAACCAGGAGACGTATTAGCTACAATTTGATTTTAAGATGACACTGGACATTCTTAGTTGTTTATTACTCAATGAATAGTTAGTTTATAGCATAAGTTATTGTGACCCTATTCATCTGTTATAATGATAGTTACTTCATTTTTTTAAAAATGCATTGATATTTGTTTATGATCAATGATTCAGAAAAACAAGTGTTTGTTTGTTTGTTTTCTTTAGAAAATGTAATACCAAGAGTGAAGGTCTTTGAAATAGAAATCTATGGATTTTCTTTTCTTTATGGAGTAAAATGGTATTTCATGTATATGTTGTATCAAACATGTAAATACAAGAAATAAATTACATATCATCAATTACTAACCGCCTTCCTTGTATGAAAAATATGATGACTAGACATGTCACATATTATGATCTGCATTCCTTATAAAAATAAGAAAATATGGTATCATTGCCAATGAGACAACTCTCCACAAGAGACAAAAGGACACAGAAATTTAAAAACATCTGCAGGTCACTGTATGGACTTCAACAATGAGCAAAACCTATACCAATTATTCCTGCTTATAGTATATCCACTTTGTACTTTTTTATTGATATTGGTTGCAATTGGGCATGAAAATCATAAGGTGATATGATTGCCACTGAAAGAATCTCTAAAAAATCTATTATAAGGACAATGGTGTGATTGTTAAGTTGATCAAGGTGCATAATTGCTAAATATACATTGTAGATTAAATATATATATATACATGGTCTCAAAATAGAATAAAAAGATATTTGACATTTTGTACAAGACATCAACACAGGTATAATTTGAATTCTCGCCTGCCTCATTTCTATCCTGTTTGAGCTGAGTAACAAAACAGATTATGTTTTGTCCTCCATACACTGCAAAGACTGAGATGTGTTATCATTGCCATTGACACAACTACCCACTAGAGTTTAAATGAAGTAGATGTACATGTAAGCAAAAATACTTAGCCACTGTAAAGCCCTCAAAAATGAGAAAACCCATACTATAGTATTGGCTATTAAAGGCCCCAGTCTGGTAAATGTGATATAATTCCATAAGACGGACATTAACCAACGACAACCACTGCACTAAAGGCTTGTGACTTGGAACAGGCATATAAAGAATGTGGTGGGGTTAAACATATTTGTGAGTGCTCAAACTCTAACCTGGAAGAGTAGTGGAACACAGCATAGAACAATATCATAAATTTCGCTTGAATATTGACCACATGATTTCAGTGTGTTATTGAAATTCTTGAGCAGTGTAAATTTTGCTGGATCAGTGGAGTAGAAAATATAATTAAAAAAACAACTGAACCAGTTGTGGAAGTGTTTATAGTACAGCAAACAATTTGTATATTCTGAGAGCCTAGCTCAGTTGAATGATTTTTCCCTATATTCTCTTTTCCATTACCAATGTCTGCCACTTCAAACATTTACCAAAGTACATAATTTTTCACACTGACTTTAAGAGTGGTGTCTGCTGAAAATTTTGTTGTCGAAAAAATGCAGACTATATGAATGCAGGTCAACTGTAATCCATACAAATAAGAATTATGACTGGAATCAGGTAGGTGTTGCACAATTAAAAAAATCAGAGTTTTTACGAAACTTGGGACATTGCCACAGCCAAATTTTGATTTCTTTTTACATTTCACGAATGCAGAATTATTTTTTACAATTAATATTAAGATAGTCTCCCACCTTCATAGATTATTCTTTTTTATTGGGAGTTTTTACGAAACTTGGGACATTGCCACAGCCAAATTTTGATTTCTTTTTATATTTCACGAATGCAGAATTATTTTTTACAGTTAATATTAAGATAGTCTCCCACCTTCATAGATTATTCTTTTTTATTGGGCAGATTAGCTCTTTTATTTATATATATGAGATAAAAACTAGCAAAATTATTTTTTTTATATTTAATACCCAATTTTACTGATGAATGGACTTTGTTTTTTCAGTTTACATTTTAATACATGGTGGGAAAGGAGGGTGCTTCATGAAATGTTGTGATTCTTGGACATTTATAGCTTCTTCAAGTTCAAGAAATAGCATTTGTAGAGAACATTTCGATATCTAAATTTTGTATTTTGATAATAGTCATTATGAGAATCTTTGATGGGCTATAAATATTACACTTTACACTGATGACCCCCCCACACAAAAAACACACTGATGGCAGAAATCACAGGCGTGACTCAATGGAGGGGATTCATGAATCCTTTTTACATTTTTTTCTCACAAATTTGTATAAACCTTAATTTAACACGAACTATATAATAAAAAAAAATGCACATCTAAAAGCAAATCTGGGAAAATACTGTTTTAAGGTCTTTTTAACAAATTATTTCTTTTATTCTTACAAGGATAAAAGTTGTAAATATATATATTTAATGAATCATTGAACAAATATATCTCCAATATTAGTTAATACAAATAAAACATTACTTGAAGTCCGTAGTTTAAAATACGCGGCATTTATACTTTTCCGGAGTTTTGTCCGCTATTGAGTACAGCCGATCACGTCATCAACGCGTTTGTTGATAATGAACGTAAAACAATATTACACGGTACACGATTAAAAAATTAAAAAGTCCAGTGTGTTACTGAAGATGGATTTACTTGATTGGACATGATTTAAAACGACTGATATCTATTTTAAAAGAAAACTGCTATCCAAACACTGGTATGCGATCATATCATTGAGATATCATAGTATCAAATGGGGATTTCGTTAAAATATCACATTTTTCATCGGATTTACATTAATTTTTACCGTAAGACAGTATAGTTCAATCTTTGGATAGCAGTTTTTAGAAAATATACATTCAAACGAATGTATTGATACTTTGTTTCACATTCAAAGATTCCTTTAACACGCTGGACTTTTGAGTTGAATATGTAATGTACGACCTTCAGTTGCGACTCGGGTCACGTGACTACTTTCACTTTCGATATGAAACACCCATGCAATATTAAATATAGGTCTTTATGTTTCATTCTGCGATCTCTGTTTTCCTGATTTTTTTGCCATTTTCTTATGATATGCACTTCAATATAACATGCAATTTTACGCATTTTTCTTGTAAAGTGCCTTAATATCACTGCGTATCGCTTGGGCAAAAATAATCACGAATATAATGCCTACCCATGTTAAAACTACAATAAAGTATAGCTTGCATCAATTATTTCTTAATTACCTGTGTGACGTACAAAATATGATTGACACTGATTGTGCAGTGAAAAGTAAAATTACAAAAATACTGAACTCCGAGGAAAATTCAAAACGGAAAGTCCTTATTCAAATGGCAAAATCAAAAGCATGAATATATCATACGAATGGACAAAAACTGTTCAATTCCTGACTTGGCACATGCATATTTTTTGTAGAAAATGGAGGATTGAACCTGGTTTTATAGCGCTAAACCTCTCACTTGTATGACAGTCGCACCAAATTCCAATACATTGACAAATTTTGTCTTACTCCAGAGAAATTTAATCAAATGGAACAATAGATCCTGAAAGAACTGCAAAATGAACGCGAGTCAACAATTACAATTCAAGGATAATAATAGTAATATAGTGGATGTCAAACCTTGTTCAACCGAGATTCCGCCATACTGCTGTTTGATATGACCCATATCATTTTAGGTAAGCAACACAGCTTAATGTCCAGTAGCAAAAAATGTCATGCACGTTCAGGACGAGAACAAGTTAACAATCAATACAATAGGTAGGTCGTGAAAAGAGGCAATCAGGGCACAATTGGACTGCCACTCACTGGCAAATGAGGGTGGACCAAGAAAGGATTGATTGATTGATGGTTGCTTAACGTCCAGTAGCAAATATTTCATGCATATTCAGGACGAGAACAAGTTCACAATAAATACAATAGGTAGGTTCTGTAATAGATTAAGGGATTAAGGTCGGAGAAATTTAGACTGCCACGGGAAATGAGGGTTTATTGGATAGGGACAGAAATTTAGCCTTGCAACAGGTCACCTACGGACCCCTCAAAGAGTTGTTGCAAGGGTTCTTAACGTGCAAAGAACGTGGCACTTTCTTTACACGAGGCATCGGATTTAACGTCCCCATTCTGACCGGACGTGGCTGCAAATTTGTACATCCCGCACAGCCAAACGGACGCCCCACTTTAGCACGGGTTTTACTGCCGGTCGGAGGAAGACCAATGGTGACCATACTTCTATTCCCCAGTCACCCTTGGGGGGGGACCAAGAAAGGAATATGAAATCAAACAATATTTCCTTAATCATATACTCCCCAAGGGTGACTGGGGAATAGAAATATGGTCACTACAGGTCTTCCTCCGACCGGCAGTGAAACCCTTGCCAAAGGTGGGCGTCCGTTTGGCTGTGCGGGATGTACAAGTACGCAGCCACGTCCGGTCAGAATGGGGACGTTAAATCCGATGCCTCGTGTAGAGAGAGTGAAACGCTCTCTGCACGTTAAGAACCCTTGCAAGAACTCTTTGAGGGGTCCGAAGGTGACCTGTTGCAAGGCAAAATTGCTGTCCCTATCCAATATACCCTCATTTTCCAGTGGCAGTCTAAATTTCCCCGACCTTCTTCCCGGACGGCCTACATTCAGGACCTACCTATTGTATTTATTGTTAATTTGTTCTCGTCTTGAATATGCATGAAATATTTGCCACTAGACGTTAAGCAACCAACAATCAATCAACAATCAATCTTAATCATATACAAACAGGCACATCACATGGAAGGTAAGACTATTGCATGGCTATACAGAAAAGCTAAACGCCTAAAGGGGATCGTCTCAGAAGAAAAAAGTGTGGAACATTATTCGGAAATATTAATTGAACTTCTTATCTGATAACTATCCCTTTAGATATAAGTTCATAGTTTATCTCATTTTTAAACGACCACAGCACTTGGCGGTTATATAATGTCATGTTAAAGGACATTATTTTTTGGGAGCAGAAATGATCAGACAAAAACCTGGTTGATAACTAAAATCAAGAAAAATGGCCATAGTTTACTATTTCCATTTCTTACTATAATTACTTTGTTTTTCCGTACTTCATTTAGTTAAATTCCGCTATAACGATTCGAGCAACAATTTGGTGGTTTTTTTTTGTTTTTTTTTTAGCAGGATTGGGAAAAAGTATTGCTGTATCCCTTTATGTCACAGCACTTCCAACACAGTTTTACCTGATGGAACAAAGATCATACTGCATAGATTTCAAATGTCGGCAAAAAAGGCGCACACACAAAGGCTTTGGATCACTAAAATTAAGAATGTTAGAGCTAATTTAAATGTGAAGGATCACACTAGGTTATGTAGTGCACATTTTGAG